CGGGGGGGGGGCGCATGAGGGCTGTGGGTGCCTGTCCGTGAGTGCTGGGGGGTGCATGAGCCCAGCCTGAGTGTGTCTAGTCTCCCATCTGTCTGCCTCTGTGTGCACCAGGTTCTCTTTCTTCCTCATACATGTAGCACCCATGGGATGTGTTCTCTGTTGCCAAATAATTCTTAATCATTAGTAGTATTTTGTGTTGAGACGTATTTCAGTGGTTTGTAGTTTTGAATGCTAGGTTTTTCTTTCTTGTGATATTATAGACGATGGGATCATTTATCTTCACACACATATAGCATTTTCCTTCTCTTCATATGTTTTAAGCATAATTCCTGGACTTGGTGAAGCGTCTGTTGCTGGCATTTGTGGGGTGCGGGGTCAATGGGGTTCCTTCCCTAACCAGGGTTGGCCCCACCAGGGCCCTTCCTCGGCTGCCCCCAAGCCCCTTCCCAGGCCCTGTGGCCCTTGAGGTGAAACGATGCCTCTTCCTTGGTCCCTGAGCAAGTCAGTGTCTTGGGATGAGAGGGTGAGCAGGAGCCGAGTCTATGGTCCCAGCTGGTGTGGGGGACACTAGGACATTGGGAGGGGCAAGCAAATGGGAAGTTGGGGCACTAACTCTTCCTGTCTGGTGTCTTTCTAGCCTGTCTCCCAGCCTACTCAGGTGACTCTGATCACGGCACCCAGCGGGGTTGAGGCCCAGCCTGTGCACGACCTCCCTGTGTCCATTCTGGCCTCGCCTACTACAGAGCAGCCCACAGCCACCGTCACCATCCCCGATTCTGGCCAGGGTGATGTGCAGCCTGGCACCGTGACGCTGGTGTGCTCCAACCCGCCCTGCGAGACCCACGAGACAGGCACCACCAACACCGCCACCACCACTGTTGTTGCTAACATGGGAGGGCACCCCCAGCCGAACCAAGTGCAGTTCGTCTGTGACAGGCCTGATGCAGCTGCTTCTCTCGTGACCTCGACCGTGGGGCAGCAGAACGGCAACGTGGTTCGCGTCTGCTCCAACCCACCCTGTGAGACCCACGAGACGGGCACCACCAACACGGCCACCACTGCCACCTCCAACATGGCTGGGCAGCTTGGCTGCTCCAACCCGCCCTGCGAGACCCACGAGACGGGCACCACCAGCACCGCCACCACTGCCATGTCGAGCATTGGTGCCGGCCAGCAGCAAGGCACCCGGCATGCCTGCGTGGCCACCACCATCCCTGTGGTCCGGATCAGTGTGCCCACCGGGACACTGGAGGGAGCCCAGGGTTTCAAGTCTTCATGCCAAACTCGCCAGACCAGCGCGACGAGCACCACCATGACTGTGATGGCTACCGGGACCTCGCGCTCAGACAGCCCGCTCCTTGCGCCAAGCCGGGCCCTGGAGGCTGCAGGCCACAGCCCTGCTTTTGTGCAGTTGGCCTCTACGACTGGCCAAGTCAGGCTGGGCCCCAGCAGCAAGGACAGCCCTGTCACCGACCTAGGTCAGTTGGTATCCATGGGGCGCCAGCCGGAGGCACAGCACACCCACACAACCAACACCCCCACCACAGCCCGCTCCAGCATGGGTGCTGGGGAGTCTGGCGAGCTGCAGGGGATCCCCACGCCTGCATACGAGAGCTCATCTAGTGCCGCTGTGACTGTGACAGGCCTGGAGGCACTGCTGTGCTCCTCGGCCACCGTGACCCAGGTCTGCTCCAATCCACCATGTGAGACCCACGAGACGGGTACCACCAACACGGCCACTACCTCGAATGCAGGCAATGCCCAGCGGGTCTGCTCCAACCCACCATGCGAGACCCACGAGACAGGCACAACCCATACACCCACCACCGCCACCTCCGGTGGGGGTGCAAGCCAGCCCGAGGGGGGGCAGCAGCCCCCTGCCAGCCGCCCCTGTGAGACGCACCAGACCACTTCCACCGGCACCACCATGTCAGTCAGCGTAGGTGCCCTGCTCCCGGACAGCACCCCGCCCCTCAGGACCCTGGAGTCCGGGTTGGAGGGGGCAGCACCGCCCACCAGTGCTTCCCAGGCCAGCACTTCGCTGCTGACCCCTTTCCCAACACAGAGGGTGTGCTCCAATCCCCCCTGTGAGACTCACGAGACAGGCACCACGCACACGGCCACCACTGTCACCTCCAACATGAGCTCAAACCAAGGTGAGTGCAGGTGGGCAGTCTGGTGTCAGTGGTCTCCTGGAGCCCCAAGCTCAAAGAGTGAGGGCTGTGGTGTCTAAAAGATCTATCTAGAGCCCCAGATTCCGTGGGGCTCAGTTTACTTGGGGGCGGGGGAGTGGTCCTGGCAACTGTCCTTTAGTGGCAATGCTTGGTAGAGACCCAGGGGCTCCTGGCAACCAGCCTCATCCCTCGGCCCCTGTTGGCTGAGTGCCTGTCATCCAGCTCTGCCTGTCCCCTCAGATCCGCCACCAGCTGCCAGTGACCAAGGAGAGGTGGAGAGCACCCAGGGCGACAGTGTGAACATCACCAGCTCCAGTGCCATCACAACGACTGTGTCCTCCACGCTGACGCGGGCTGTGACCACCGTGACACAGTCCACGCCAGTCCCCGGCCCCTCTGTGCCGGTAAGAGCCCCTGGAAGGTCCCCTTTTGCCTCCCTGCAGCCCAATGCACCTGCGGCCTTGCTGTTCCAGAGTAGGACACTAGGTGTCACTCTTGTACCAGGCACAGTGTTGCTCTTGGTCCTTTCTCCAGATTATGAGAGGGCAACCTCCTGGCACAACAGGGCAAGAGGCAGCAGTCCCCCAGTGCCATGGCTTGCCGGTTCACTATAGCCTAGAGGAGCAACAAGGGGGTGGGGCATCTGAGTGCCCCTTTCTGACTAGACTGGGAGGCTTCCTTGAGGACGGGTTAGCATTGGCCAGCAGGTCTCAAAGGTGTCGTCTCCCCTCGCCGAACTCCTGCTGCTCAGTGACCTGCCACTGCTGCCCATTTTAAAGGGGTTCTGCTGGTCCATCGTGAATGGGAATCCAGGCTCTAAAGAAAGATGAAGGGTGCCTGGTTCTGGCCTCCCTCTCCTCCCCTCTGACAGGGGCTTCTCTCCCTTTCTAGAAGATCTCATCAGTGACTGAAACTGCCCCAGGGGCTCTGACCACCGAAGTCCCCATCCCGGCCACGATAACAGTGACCATAGCCAACACAGAAACTTCTGACATGCCCTTCTCTGCTGTTGACATCCTGCAGCCCCCAGAGGAGCTCCAGGCCTCCCCCGGGCCTCGCCAGCAGCTGCCGCCACAGCAACTCCTGCAGCCTGCCTCCACCCCCCTGATGGGGGAGTCCACCGAGGTCCTGTCAGCTTCACAGACCTCTGAGCTCCAGGCCGCTGTGGATCTGAGCAGTACAGGGGACCCCGCTTCGGGCCAGGAGTCTGCCAACTCCGCCATGGTGGCCACTGTGGTGGTCCAGCCACCTGCGCCCACCCAGTCGGAAGTAGACCAGTTGTCACTTCCCCAAGAGCTGATGGCTGAGGCCCAGGCAGGCACTACCACCCTCATGGTCACAGGGCTCACCCCTGAGGAGTTGGCGGTGACTGCTGCTGCCGAAGCAGCTGCCCAGGCTGCGGCCACAGAGGAAGCCCAGGCCCTGGCCATCCAGGCGGTGTTGCAGGCTGCGCAACAGGCTGTCATGGGTAGGTGCAGGGAGCAGAGAGCTCACCCCTCCGTGTGAGGTCAAGTCCATATCAGTGCCCTGAAGGGAGGATGGGCCCCTCAGGAAGAGAGAGAACACAGGGTTCTGGAGCCTCCCTGCTGATGGGCAGCCAAGAGAAGAGGAGGAGGCTTGCTTCCTGCCAGGGAGGAGCAAGGCCGACATAAAGGGGAGGACGGGGGCGGAGCTGCTGGGCTCAGCTGGGCACCCAGGAAGCAGGCAGGTTCTTTGCAGGACAGCAAGGTAGAGGTAGGCCAGGAAGCATGGTCGATGGGACAGGCTTTCAGGGCCTCTGTTGCTTGGGGATTGGGCTCAGGAGGTGACATTGGAAAGCCAGGGATGGGCTCCACCTAGCTGGCGTCCCTGTTGAGGAGTATTTCTCTCCACTCTGGAGCAGGCACTGGGGAGGCCATGGACACGTCCGAGGGGGCAGGAGCTGTGACACAGGCAGAGCTGAGCCACCTGTCAGCTGAAGGCCAGGAGGGCCAGGCCACCACCATCCCCATTGTGCTGACGCAGCAAGAACTGGCCGCCCTGGTGCAGCAACAGCAGCAGCTGCAAGAGGCCCAGGCCCAGCAGCAGCACCACCACCTGCCCACGGAGGCCCTGGCCCCTGCCGACAGCCTCAATGACCCAACCATCGAGGGCAACTGCCTCAGTGAGCTGGCTGGGGCTGTGCCCAGCACCGTGGCCCTGCTGCCCTCCACAGCCACTGAGAGTGAGTAGAGCCCTGTTTGGCCACGTGTACTGTCCCTAGAGGTCTCCGTGGACTGGGGAGAGGTTTTGGGGGGTATCTGCGCCCCCCAATGCACAGACTGGGAGGGTGGCCTGGTCCGAGGGAAGGGCCCCCATGTAGAAACTGAGTTTTTGGGCTCTTTCCTGCTGACACCTTCTTTTCTCCCAGGCCTGGCTCCTTCCAACACGTTTGTGGCCCCCCAGCCCGTCGTGGGATCCAGTCCCGCTAAGCTACAGGCTGCTGCTACCCTGACTGAGGTGGCCAATGGCATTGAGTCCCTGGGTGTGGTGAGTCTGATGTGATGGGGCTTCGGGGGTCACTACCTCTGGGCCCCAAAGGCCAACGGCCTGACCTCTTCCCTTTCTGTCTTCCAGAAGCCAGAGCTGCCACCCCCGCCCAGCAAAGCCCCCGTGAAGAAAGAGAACCAGTGGTTTGATGTGGGGGTTATTAAGGGCACTAATGTCATGGTGACACACTATTTCCTGCCACCAGATGATGCTGCCCCATCTGATGTAAGTGAGCCTGGGAGTTGATGCTCTCGGGTGGGAGGGTCCTGGCCATAGGCTGGTACAGGGCCCTGAGGAGCCTTCTAAAGCTCCCCGCCTGGAGCTAGCCGAGGGCAGCAGTCCTTTTGCCGTGTTCCCCTTGTTGGGAAGTGGGTGTCATTTTCACCGTCTTTCCCCCTTCCTTTCCCCAACATGGACTCGCAGGTCCCCAGAGCTGCCCTCTTAACAGTGGGGTTGATGTCCCTTTCTTCTCTTTCTCTTCCCGTTTTTCCGGCCACTTCCCCAGGACGACTCGGGCACTCTGCCAGACTATAACCAACTGAAGAAGCATGAACTGCAGCCAGGCACGGCCTACAAGTTTCGTGTCGCTGGGATCAACGCCTGTGGCCGGGGGCCCTTCAGCGAGATTTCAGCCTTTAAGACGTGTCTGCCTGGTTTCCCAGGGGCCCCCTGTGCCATTAAAATCAGCAAAGTGAGTCCTGGTTCATAGGTTGCTGCTCAACCACTGGCCCATACCAGCTGGGCCCTGATCATTTGATTTAGCCATTACATGAGGCTACCTTTTAGATGGAGGCAGATGAGGCCATCTCTCTGGCGCTCCCTGAACTCTTCTGTGAAAGCAGCCTGCTGTGTTAGGAGTGGTGGTGACGTGGGGGTGGTCGGTCAGCCCGGGGAGTGGTGAAGTGGCCTAGCACAGGCAGGGCACAGGATAAACTCACAGGCCAAAGCCAGCACCACTTGACCTATGCCACCTTGGTTCTAGAGCCCAGATGGTGCTCACCTCACCTGGGAGCCACCCTCTGTGACCTCCGGCAAGATCGTTGAGTACTCGGTGTACCTGGCTATCCAGAGCTCACAGGCCAGTGGTGAGACCAAGAGCTCCACCCCCGCCCAGCTGGCCTTCATGCGCGTGTACTGCGGGCCCAGCCCCTCCTGCCTCGTGCAATCGTCCAGCCTCTCCAACGCCCACATTGACTACACCACCAAGCCCGCCATCATCTTCCGCATCGCTGCCCGCAACGAGAAGGGCTACGGCCCAGCCACCCAAGTGAGGTGGTTGCAAGGTGGGTGTCATTCATTCATAAGGCTTCTTGGGTGCACTCTGGGGAGGGGCAGGTTGGGGAGTGGAAGCCCCAGCAAGCATCAGGTGGAGCAGGTGATGGCCTAGAGTGCTATGGGGGTCCCTTGGGGCACCTTGCCTCATCTGGAGGTACAGGGAAACTTCCCAGGGGTGTTTGAGGTGAGCTGGGTTGAGAGGACTAGAAGGGTCCAGAGTGAGGCTAGACAAGGGTTGGGGTGGGGAGTGGAGGCCACAGGCTGCCCTGGCAAGGTATGAGCCAGCTCCCACAGGCTGACCAGGGAGGACAGTGAGGGCCTCTAACCTGAGTCCAAGGCCACCTTGGGGGGTGGCACACGTGGCCAGGACCATGGGGAATGTACCCACCAGAGGGAGGGGCCGTCACATCCAGCAAGGCCAGCTGGTCCTGCTGCAGGGCCAGAGGCTGAGGGCAGGGTGGGTCGTCTGCGGACTGCTGTGTGGCTGAAGTTACTAGACCCACCTTACTGTGTCGCTCACTGCTCCGTTTTCTTTTCAGAAACCAGTAAAGACAGCCCTGGCACCAAGCCAGCCAGCAAGCGGCCCATGTCCTCTCCGGAAATGTAAGAGGGAAGCCCCCTTTGGGGAACCTTCTGAGACTGAGGGTGGGGGGCTCCACTTCTTAAATGATGGAGGGGGCTTAACTGGGTATGAACCCCCACTGGGTACTAGCCAGCAACCTACTGCAAGTCATATAGTGTCATCAGGAGCCATGCTAACTACCACTTTCTCTTCCCCTTTTCCTCCCATCTTCCCAGGAAAACCGCTCCAAAGAAATCTAAGGCAGATGGCCAGTGAGAGGCAGCTGGCTCACACCTGGATTCCTCTCCTGACCCCCCCCTCTGCTTCAGGAACACCACCCACCAGGGCCTTCCCGGGCCATCCCATCCCCGAGCGCTCACACTTTACCCTCCCAAGCTACTGGCCACCATTCATTCTCTCTCCTTTTCTCTGTTTTGAAAATAATCTCAAGAAAGCACATTTTACCGTTGCTGTTGGGAGGAAGCAGAGGCAGGTCTGGAAGAACAGTGAGCACGTGAAAGCGCAGTGCACTTGCTCCTCTCCAGGCCTTCCATGGGGGCTGAGAGCCCCCGAGGCCAGAGACCCCGAGGGAGGGAAACAAACTTTAAAGCAAAGAAGCGAAAGCAGTGGAGGCCTGCACCCCAACCTGGGAGCCTCTTGCTTGTGATCACCCTTGGCTGGAGAAGGCAGCCAAGGGGCAGTGGACGTGAAGCCAGGGAATGACACCCCTCAGCCCCCCTACCCTGCCTCTGCTCCAAGAAGCAAGAGAGGCTTTGCGGGGGCACCCTGAGCTGGGTGTGTGTGTGTATGATTTATTTTATTTTGTTCCCTTTGCATTTCCCGCCACCTAATAGCCCACCCTTGACTTACCCAGCCCATCTCTGCCCGTGATCCCACGGGAAGCTTACACATTTTCTCAGAGGCCTTTTTATCTTCCCCACTTCCTCCCCTTCCCTCTTCCCATTTAAGAGAGACAAGAAAGAAACAGAAAGGGGGAGAAGGGGCCCCATGGTGGGCTGAGCAGTGTTCTGTGAAAACCTGGCTCCCAATGGGGCCTACAGAAGCCCCCTACCCCCCAGCCTGGCTTCGGCCCCCCCTGGGTCGGGGCCAGGGGCCACATCACCAACTGCTGCATTTGTTGTATTTTTTTAAGTTGAAATTGAAGGCAACATTTTTATTGTAATTTTAGCCTTAGCGTGTGGGGTTTTGTCCCTTTTTTTGTTGTTAGCTGTGTACAGAATGTGTTTTTTTTTTTGTTTGTTAACTTTTCTCTCCTTGGCTAAGCCTTGGCGCAGGGATCTTTCTGGAGGAAAAGCTGGGGGCAGCCAGGGCAGACGAGGCATGGTATTTCCCCCGTGCACCTGGTGTTTTATGCGCAGCTCAATTTCCTCTTCCTGGCCCTGCCCTCTGCCCCTGTGCCTGTCCCCAAGCCTCCGGGATGAAGAAAGGGTGAGCTGTCAAATTTCACTCTCCATGGGCGAAGCCTCAAGGCAGGTTTCTGAGGGGGACAGTCCAGAGGCCCCAGCCAACGATCCTCCTAATCCTGGGTTCCCAGCATCCCTCACACCCCACCCCAAGGCTCCCTCCTTGGCGTAGCTGGCTTCGAGTATCTGACACCCTCAAATTACTGCTTCCTGCAGCCACCCACTTCCACTCCACAAGCAACTTAGTAAGGAAAAGGGTGGGGTAGGCATGAAGGGGAACTTTTCAGAGGTAGAGGGCATGCGTGTGGCTTAGCCCAAGGAAAGGGTGGACTAACAGCACTGGCTACCAGGTCTATGAATGTGCAGCATTGTCCCGAGGCTGTGCAGTCCTATGGGGACTCAGGCTTAGGCCTCTGCTCAGAGTGGCTACTGAGCCAGCTTTCTGCCCTACCCACAAGCTTCAGGTAAGGAGCAAGGTTTGCAAGCCAGTCACACAACTAAGTGAGCTACCCATCTTCAGGCGCCACCTGCCAACCCCAGTCTGCAGTGGAGGCCAGCTGTGGCTGATGACCGCCCGCCCTCCCCTCCCATGCCCCCACCGCCTGGCTCCTTTCTGGGGCCTAAGGAGCAAGCTCGGAGCAAGAAACTAAAATCAAGTCTCCCCCTCCACACTAGTGGCTGGAGGTTGCCAGGCAGTGGTACTGCCAGCAGGTGGGAGCGCAAGTCCTCAGTCCCAAAGGAGAGGGTCTGGGAGGCACAGCCCAGCCTCCACCATGATGGACAACCTGACAGAAGCAAGTCCACTTGACAACAATGAAGCGAAGGCTTTTAATTTTGTATGCAGAGACAATCTTCATAGATTTATCTGAAGGAGGAAGTTGCTGTTCCAAACAGTGTCTGCACACAAAGAAACCAAAAAGCTGGAGGGCTGACACAAACTGCTGGGGTGCAGATGGGTCACCTGGAAACTCCTTATTTGTGTCTGGATGAGAAGCTCACTGGGCACAGGGGAACATTTTCACCCTGGAGCCCATTCGCCTGGTTTCATTGTTTCCCTGTCCCTCGTCCCAAGCACCCTTTGATTTATCGTTTCTAAGAACAGTACGCCCGTTCTATTGTAGAGTAACCCCCGTGACACAATATTACCATAGTGCAATGTCGTTTTGTGCTATTTTGAACAATTAAAAGACTTTTTTTGAAATAACCACCTGCTGTTTCAGTGTGTCTGGGACTCCCAAGTTCAAATACCCAGGGAGCCTTTTGCAGGGCCTGCCTGTGAGTGGGATTCTGCTTCCCAATTGCCTCACAAGTTTCAAGGTTCCACCATGGCCCTTGACCTTGGGTAGGACTAGATCAGTGGTCAGCAAACTCATTAGTCAACAGAGCCAAATATCAACAGTACAACAATTGAAATTTCTTTTGCGAGCCAAATTTTTTAAACTTAAACTATATAGGTAGGTACATTGTTATTAACTTAATTAGGGTACTCCTAAGGCTTAGGAAGAGCCACACTCAAGGGGCAAAAGAGCTGCATGTGGCTCGGGAGCCGAAGTTTGCCGACCACGGATCTAGGCTTTAACACCAGAGAAATGATATTCAGAACCTTTCACCAGGCATATGTATATATGACATACTAGTATATTGGTCATAAAAATACCTGCATGTATATTTCCATCATAAGTATCCTAATATATAAAAAGCCAGGGGTCGACCACATGTGGCTCGCGAGCCGCGGTTTGCCGACCACTGGACTAGATTGTCTCAGCAGAAGGTCCCATAGCAGCTACTACCAGCTCCTGTCTGAGGACCAGATCACCCCTCCCAACCAGGGGACTGGGGCAAAGGCTAGGCAGGTCACCAGCTGCCAGTTGGGGAGGGCTTAGCCGGAGGTCTTTCCACCAGGGGCTCAGGACCCCCAAAAGGATCTCAGAATATCAACTACCTGGATGTCGCCCATGGGGTGGTTTCCATCTGGCGCTCAGCAAGTGATGCAAGAGTGAATCCTTTGGGCCAGGTTTCCTATGCATCACCCCCAGAGGAAGAAGCAGAACCAACTGTGGTAGCCCTGCTGTTGGGTGGGGTGGTTTTGCTAGGGTATAGCCAGGGTTAGGGAGTGCTCATGACAAAACAAGGGGAGAATTCTTCAGCACACCTGCCTCCTTCCCCCCCCCTCCTTACCCCTTCACTCTAGTACCAAAAGCTGCCTTCTCCATCTCTGCCTGGCAAGTGCGCATGCCCATGCAGTGCCAGGTCATGGTTGCAGGGGAGGCCTGTCCAATTCCATCTCTCCCAGGAAGGCCCTCAGAGCCAGCTCTTCTTTCCCTGGTGTTCACACCCTGGGTTCCTGGTGTCTTGTATTGTGTGGGGTCCTATTGATCTTGACACTGGGAGCCACAGCTCTGTCTTTGTCGCTGCACCAACTCTGACCTGAATGAGCCCAGGGGCCTCCACGGGGAGAGGCAGGCACATGTCCTTCAGATTGGAGTAATGGGGGAGCAAGGGTACAATGCGGGCCAGCTGTGGCCAATGGTCTGTGGGGCTGGCCCCAGAAGGGGCGGGGCCTGTGCAGATCTGTCAGGCGTGTGACAGATGACTGGATGCTTAACCTTCGCAGGGTGTAGAGGTTCTTCCCACCCACCCTCTGCTGTCCCAACACACACTCACCTGCCTCAGGACAGCCTGCATGGCACTCCAGAAGGCAGAGCCACACCAGTTGGTGCTGGTCTCTAATGGTCTCACCACTCATCAGTCTCCTGGGGAGAGACCCGTGAGGGGAAAAGAGTGTTGTCAGTTTTATTTATTTATCTATCTATCTATCATCTATCTATCTATTTATTTATTTATTTTTATTGATTTCAGAGAGGAAGGGAGAAGGAGAGAGAGATAGAAACATCAATGATGAGATAGCACCATTGATTGGCTGCCTCCTGCATGCCCCCTACTGGGGATTGAACCTGCAACCCTTCAGTCCACAGACCAACACTCTATCCACTAAACCAAACCGGCTAGGGCTGTCTTTTACAAATTAAAGGCAAGACCCTCCACCAGCAAAAAGATTACAACTCACTTCATTTCAGTGTTCTGGAACAGAACCCACAGTATCTCTAAGGTTTGCCTGTACCACACCTTCTCACTGGCCAGTCTTTTTTTATTTTTATATATATGTTTATTTCAGAGAGGAAGGGAGAGGGAGAGAGAAATAGAAACATCAATGATAAGAGAGAATCATTGATTGGCTGCCTCCTGCACGCCGCCCCACTGGTGATCAAGCCCACAACCCAGGCATGTGCCCTTGACTGGAATCAAACCCAGGACCCTTCAGTCTGCAGACCGATGCTCCATCCACCGAGCCACACCGGCTAGGAATATATATATACATTGACGAGAGAGAAACATCAATGAGCTGCCTCCTAGATGCCCCCCACTGGGGATTGAGCCTGAAACCTGGGTATATGCCCTGACCAAGAATTGAACCAGCAACCTTTCGGGGTGCATGGGACAACACTGGACACTCAACCAACTGAAATACAACTGGCGGGGCAAGGGAGGTCAGTCTTATTCTCAAACATCACAAAGGGCATGGGAAGGTCAGCCTTCGGCAGGAACTCATGCAGTGTGGGCTCACAGTTGCAAGGGAGGCCCAGTCCAATTCCATCTCTCCCAGGAAGCCTCTCAGGGCCAGCTCTTCTTTCCCTGGTGCTCACTCTGCCAGACTCCTGGTGTCTCATATTGTGTGGGGTCCTACTCATTGTGACATAGCTCTGTCTTCCCTACTCCACCAACTCTGACCTGACTGAGCCCAGGGGTCTCCACGGGGAGAGGCAGGCATTGTGACATCAAAGACCACCACACATATACCCTGGCAGGTGTGGCTCAGTTGGTTGAGTGTGGTTCCATACACCGAAAGGTCCCTGGTTCAATTCCCAGTCAGGGCACATGTCCTGGTTGGGGGCTCGATCCCCAGTAGGGGGTATGCAGGAGGCAGCCAATAGATGTTTCTCTCTCCCTCTCCCTTCCTCTCTCTCTAAAATCAATAAAAACATATTTTTAAAAATTAAGAAGACCAGCAACAGCAGTAGGAGCTGCAGTATAGGGCCATGCCCAGGCATTAGAATCTCTCTGTTCCAGCCGCGTTCTGAAGCTGCACTGATGAGGTGAGAGGCCCACTTACACTCCTGGCCTGCAATCCAACCAACCCAGAAGTCCAAGCTCCTCCAAGTCACACTGGGAGCCCAGGGCTCTCAGGCAGACCCCTGGACTGCCGCCTCCACATAATTCCGCCCTTGGCAGGGAAAGTGGGGGACAGTTGGTCAGCCAGCCTTGCTCAGTCATAGAGCTACGAAGACCACATCTGGGCACTGGCAAACAAGTCTGGAGAACTTGGAGGGCTGGAAGGCAGAGGGGCCCCGGGATGCCCACTCTTACCTGCACAATTGCTGTATGGCTTTTGAGCTGCCTTGTATTGACCTTGACCGCTAAAGCGGTTGATGAGGAGCTGGTTCATCCAGAGGAGTTGCCCACCCTGTGGGGTCAGAGGTCAGAGGGGCC